ATATCACGAGGTCCAAGTACAGAGGAAAGTGCAGGGACGTGGAATTGTCTGTCTGGTTGACCTGGCAGTTGATTCTTGGCGATAAAGTCCCATCGCAGTCCCATATGCACTGAGTTTTAGATTGTCGTCAAAACGTGTTCTCTCGTAATCTAGACCGTGGATTTCCGACATCCTGGCTGCCGTTGCTAGGGATAGCAGAAACAGTGTTTTCTGTGTCAGGAATTCAAACGATGTTGTTTCCAGCGGTTTGTAAGCCTCACTTATGAGGTGTTGAAGCACAATATTGAGATCCCATGCTGGAGCGCGAAATCTTTGTTTCTGATCCTCCAATCGGAAAGAGCGTAGCAAGGCCAGTAACTCTGGCGTCTTGGTTAACTTGGCACCCGTCCTCATAGTTATCACTGAACTTAGTGCTGCGAGGTACGTTGAAAATGTAGATCCTTTTAGACGTTTGGTTTGTCGTAGCTGACAAAGATAGTCCGCTACTTGAGGATGTGTAGCATTTCTAGCTGTAAAACCCTTTTTAGCAGCGTATGTCTCAAAACTGTGCCACTTGTCATCATACAGGTTGCGTGTAGAATTGCTTAAGGCAAGCGTGACTGCTTTCGCCGCTCTGGCTGAGTAACCTCTCTTGTTTAAACACGCTTTAATACAGTCCATAAGTGAAGTTGGAATGATCCTGGATTGACGTGCGCTTGTTTTGTGTGAGGATGTATGAGTAGATTCGAACTCCTTGGTAGTTGTAGCATTGGTTGTCCGATTTCTTGTATTAGAATGGGAAACCACGTTCTCCCTGGCCAGTAAGGCGCGACCAAAATCAGTTGGAGGCTCTGAGTTTGTCTGATTTTCTGTAATACCCTTGGTATTATCGCTGGCGGCGGAAACGCATACGCGTTGAGGCCTTCCCAGGATATGCTTAGAGCGTCCGTTGCCCACGCTTGTGGATCTGGGATTGGTGAGACGAATGTTGTTAACTGATTGTTGAAGCGAGTGGCGAATAGGTCTATTAATGGAGCTTCTATTTCCTTGATAATCTGAGCGAAGATTTCGAGGTGGAGCTTCCATTCCGTCGGTGACGGTAGATTTGGCCGAGAGAGTGCGTCTGCTAGTACATTCTTGGCTCATGGAATGTGGCATGCTCTCACATGTATGTTGAGATCGTCGATCAGGTCGAACAGTTGAAAGCATAGAGTCAGTAGGTTCAATGATCTTGTTGAGTCTTGCTTGTTTATATAAAACGCCACTGTTGAGTTGTCGGTGTGGATCATGAGATGCGCATTCTGTAGAATGGTGCTCCAATGAAGTAAGGCGTTGATTACTGCTTTCATTTCGAGCATGTTGATGTGCAGATTGCTCTCTTCTTGGTTCCATACCCCTGCTGCCGTCAGGTTGGCGAGATGAGCTCCCCAACCTTGGAGCGATGCGTCGACATAGAGATGGGTCTTTCACTCCGGCTCTGTTAAATAGATGCCATCCCAAACATTCGACCTCTGGGTCCACCAAAGTAGATGAGGTCTGAGGTGATTCGGTAGACCGAAGGGTTGAAGGTCGTCGAGATGGGCGTTGATGAGGACCTGTAACGGGCGTAACTGTAGTCTGCCTCTGGCTGTCATGTCTTGTGCTGACGTGAGAAGACCCAACAGACTCTGCCACTGGCGTAGTGGTAACGGAGAGAGTAAGGCTTGAGGGATCGTCTGTTGAATCTTGAGCCATCGGTCCTCTGGTACGATGATACGGTTCTGTGTTGTGAGAAATCTGATGCCTAGAAACTGCAGGTCTTGCGTAGGTTCTAGGTCCGACTTGAGTAGATTTACTAACCATCCTAGCTGCGTTAGCAGGTTGATGGTGGAATTCAACTGTAGTTTGAGACGCTTTGGATCTTGATCTACTTGAATCCCGTCGTCGAGGTAGAACGCACTGCGTAGCCCTTGACGATGTAGGTAAGTGACGATGGGTTTCGTTATTCTTGTAAACAACCAGGGGGCCGATGATATTCCAAACGGTAGGACCTTCCATTGGTAATGTAGCCCGTCTAGTGTAAACCGTAGGTACTTCCTCGAGGTCGGGATGTATCGGGATATGCAGGTAGGCATCCTGTAGATCTATACTGGCCATGAAGTCCATCGGACGAACGAGGTGCAGTAGTTGAGGTAGATGTATCATGCGAAACGTCGGCGGTTTGCGTAGATAATCCCTGTTGAACTTGCTCATGTTGTAGATGTGTCGGAACTTTTCCTTGGAATTTTTCTTGGGCACTAGGAAAAGTGGGGAGTAGAAACCTGGTTCGATGTTTACTTGATCCACGATTTCTATGGCCTGCATGGTTAGGAGAGATGAAACAGCTTCTCGTAACTTCAGTAGTTGTTGTGCCTGGAAGTCGAACTTGTGAGGGTTGACTGTAAGCAGAGGCGTGGCCCGTAGTTGGATGTGATATCCGTGTTGTAGGATGTTGGAGACATATGGATCTTGTAGTATTCCCCAGTTCTCCCAGTGCAGTTGAAGACGTCCACCCACTTGTGAAGGTTGTATAGGGACGGCTGGGGGTGGAAGACTCCAGTCGTTCTGAACCCGTCTTTCATCGACGATAGTTGCGGGAGCCTCTGGGTGTCCTGCCTCTTCCAGATCCTCCCCTGTAGTTGCCGAATGGGCGACGAAAAGCGTCCTTTCCACCTCTGAAGCCGGCTATCTTCCTGTCCCGTGCTTTTTGTAGACCAGTAAACTTGGATCTTCCGGAATATCTTTGTGATGTCTGTCTGATGACGCTGGCCAGAGTGTCAATCGATTTAATCATGAGGACTTCTCTTGAATCCTTGGTGACTTCTTTAGAGACTTTATCGATTCCCCCAGCGAAGATGGATGGAGTTGACCACGGGGCTGTGTAGAGCGGTGTTGTGAACTGTTCACCCCAACTGCAGTTGGCGAGGAGACCCTGACGACGAGCCAGTGTAAGAGCTGCGGAGATGGATGTAAGGTGATCCGTCATGAACTGTTTGTCCTTCTTTTGCATAAGGAGGGCCGAGTATACCATTCTGTCGTCTTCCGATGTGGATTCTCGAAACCTAGTGATGAGAGTTTCGTTGATAGTCCTGGATCTGTTGAGGCCGAAAAACATTCTTCTGGTCATAGTCTCGACTTGAGCCAGCTTGCGGGCCTCGATCCTGTACGCCTTGGCCTTGGCATCGTTGATGACTTTAAAGTTATCGTCGATTTCTTGTGCTTTAAGGAAGGGGTCCATATTATGGGCAGAGAACTTCTTGGCGTTGAAATGTGGTAAGTGCGGCGCCTGAGCTTTAGTGGCTGTTTGGAAGGCTGTATCCAGGTTCTGTGGAACCGTTGCTATAGGATCAATCGGGAGGTAGGGTGATCGTGTCTGCGTCGTCCTCCCTCATAAGATAGGTGTTAGCCGAATTATCATCCTTCGAACTTGAAGCCAAGTCCAAGTTGTTGACCATCCAGTAACGGATTTCCGCGTCAGAGAATATGATGCCTCCATCATCTTCAGTAACAGGATCGCTGATTAGAGGCCGATGATACTCTTTCGATGGTGACTGAGGTGGAGTCCTGTCCGGAGACCTTCTTGGAGACCTGCGCGGAGACTTGTGAGGCGAGCGTCGTGTTGACCTGTGTGGCGATCTGCGTGGAGACCTACGAGGAGATCGACGAGGAGAATGGCGAGGCGATCGACGTGGAGACGGCGAGGAGATCGACGTGGAGAACGGCCGATGATAGCTTCGCGAAGCTTTTGGGGAATCCCTCCATGACCTCCGGTACGAAGATGACTTGGAGACTGTAACTGGTGTCCTTCGCGAAGACCTTCGCGAAGCTTCATCTGAGTCCACATCTGGGGAGTGACGACTTGTCCTTCGCGAAGCTTCATCTGAGTCCGGGGATGAGAGGATCCTCCTTCCCGAAGGTGAGGATCTAGAGGTCCTTCGCGAAGGCTTTCGCGAACGCTGATCGTCTGGGTCCTTCGCAGAGGTAGGCTGTGACTTCCTTCGCGCAGGCTGGTCCCTCAGTGGTGACTTGGTAGCAGCCGCTACGTTGATGGGAGGTCCCTCAGGGGTGACGTCTACGTTGGGGCCTTCGCGCAGGCTCAGGCCCTGGGCTGGTCTTCCATCAACTTCATTAGCTGTTGCAAGATCTGCCAAGATGTAGGCGCTGCCCTATCTGCGTTGGTAGCGACGGAACCCATGGGAAGATCGTCAGACATCAGCGTTGATACATCGGGCTGATTGCGGATCTGCGCTGACGTCACTGTAGCTGAAACCGGTTGTTTCTTGTGATGAACATCGGGTATGATGAGCGGCTGCTCATCATACAGTCCCTGTTCTGCAGCGGGAACAATCTTGGCCGAGAAGGTTCGTGTGGTCTGCGTTGGTTTCCCCTTGGTGGTAGACGCTGCCCTGGGGGTGCGGAGTCTGCGCTGAGAAGTAGATGCCCTCTTAGTCTTAGGCTGCGACGGCGGGATGTCTGGTGATGCAGGACGCTTCTTGGAGATGGCGGACTGCGTCCCCGCCCTCTCCTCGAAGGAAACTCCAGCGGAACACCAGACGGGAGGGGGTCGTCCGACAGCAGTTGACTTGAGAGGGATTCGGTAGCATTATCCATGCCTGGATGTAGCTTACGTGACCTATCTGCTGCACGTCTCAAGACGCAAAGTAAATATTTGTTAAAAGCAGAATTAGATAAATTATTACAATAACTGCAACGTGAACTGAAGGAACATGGTACAGTACAGCTAGGGCATATTAAATGCGGATCAGCAGCAGAAAAGCGTAACTTGCAAACAGTACAGATTTTCATGAACGTAGCCTACTGAACAATCACGGCATACACCGCGAATAAACAGCAGAAAATACGAATAATTATCAAAACATATTGTTGAAGGATACTAGCTAAACCTCTATAAGGGACTTGTAGAGGTAACTAAGTAAGAAATATCAAAGGATATAGTGTGTAGGGAGACACAGGTGCTCTCACATCCTGCTCACTGGGCGAAGAAGGAGAGAGTGAAGCATGTGGGCCACGGTGGCGCCGTCTTTCCCGCCAGTGGAAGCAAAGAGGGGCAACTCTTGGTGAGTAGTGATTAGTGATTTTACGTATGTTTCAATTGAAGGGAGCTTCAATAGGGAGATACAAGTGTTCCACTATGTTCGCAAGAAGAAGAAGACAAGCAAAAGAGCATGAGTCAGGATAAGGAAAAATTATTCACTGACTGTTGATCCTCCTGATTATACATATGACCCTGAAGTAGATCATGCTATATTTGCAATCACTCCCAAGTAGATTGCCTATCTTAATGATCGTTTGTGTATTCCCTATGGCCTGTTAATGAGCAGCTCCCAGTAAAAATTGAAACTTATTTGTATGCTTCTGATGATGAAGTTGATTGTCATCTGAAAAAAGTCTAATCCACTAGTCCTGAATCGGCCTTGAGAAGAATCCTGTGCGATGATGAAACATGGATGTCCGATGTGCTATTTCCCCTTTCATGACGAGTGCAGGATGGGACACGAATACGGACAAGGCTGTATCCATTTGATCCATGCGTTGCAACAAGGAAACTTGTACTGACAGCTGAATCTTTCTAGTGTGTCATATCTTGGCTTTCTTGGAAGTAAAAGGACAAGAGAATCACACCAAGGATGGGGCACAGAATGGAGTGTACTGGCGGGTCTATCAAGAAGAATTGTGTTGTGGGAGGTGGTATGAAACCAGGATCATTAAGACATGTTCTAAATTTGATTTCCACTCAACATCAGAGCACTTAGCAGCAATGCAATATGTGTGATTGAATAAGGATAAAAAAATAATCATCGCCTGAGGTCGTTGTTGTTTTAAGCAACATTCTGCAGAATTCAATCTTTACCAACTCTATAAAAAGAAATCCAATGGATGAAAACACTTTCTATGTTGCTAGGTATGTTGAAACAAAATTACCTCAGTCACAGTATGTAAATATTTTATCCACATAAGTCACCAACCAACCTATTCAATTAACAAATGAAAATAGATGACTGTACTTACCTTGTAATGTGAGGCGACACAGAGGGACATGACTCTGTGAAGGAAGGCCTCTGAAGCCTTATGGTAAGAGAAGAGAGTTTCTCTGTTAACATAGTACAGGTCACATTGGGCTGGGACTGGGCAACCTGACAGGATGCTCGGAATGCTGCCAGATTCAAGGCACAGTATACTGTTCAACCAGGACTCAACAGGGTCACCATCAGCATACCTTATGGACTCAGTCAGGGATATCTCATGGAGAGCACGTCCTTCAATCAGACAACAACAGACACATTTTCAAAAGCTTTCCAACATTTAATTACACTCTTCGAAATTAACATTTGTTTCATGCACAAGGAGACACTCATCACTGACATGTTTTTTATGAAGAGTGTTATATGGCTACTTCTTTCAATTACTATGGGGCATGTGGTAACCGAAGAGTCTCTCACCGTGTACATATACATGCACTCACCTCAAAAACAGGGTACTGTAGCTAACCTAAATACGTAGTTCATAGTTGAAAATGCCAACAAAGGGGCCTCTGAACAAAATTTGCTGTCAACTTCGTTCTTCAAACATAAATACAGAAAACAGAAGTATTAACAAACTAAATTTCTAAAATGATTATCCGCAACAATGAATATAATATTGTAAAACATTGTTTCAACACCTCCAAATAAGTAACCAATAAGTGTTACAGGCGAATAGTTGATCAAACACCATCATATTTTCCCTGGTTGTTTAACAACAACCACTAAAATTCAAACAATTTGAACCCTGTATCATCTTACATTCTAGAGTTCTACTTCCTCATTCTGGCAATAATAGAAAAGATGTCTCCAGAACCAAATATGCATTTAGAGAGACAGTAAGAGCATTACAGTACAGTATCCTGTTCCAGTGAGCAGTGTTTAGACCAACAGGAAGTAATCTTTATCAGCTCACGCAAATAAAACATCATCGGACACGGGGTATATAGTTGCATGTTAACTATTACTGAAATAGCTCATTCTAGCACCAATTTCACTCACTGTGTATAGTTTTAATATGCACCGTTCCATTGTCAGTTCCTGCCTTGGTTCCACTTTACATTGATTATGGTGTACCACAAATCATAATTACAAGTTCCATCAAGAACTGTTTTGGAGTACTACTACGAAAACAAGCACAAACAACATTTTTGGGATAAGTTATCTCAAAAAGATTACAAGAGTCATCAGAGGATGATATATCAGTTACTTAAAGTCCAACTTGATTTTTTCAGACTAAGTCCAAATCATTTCCATGGAAATCATGAAAAGTGCAAAAGCCAAAAATCCATTAATAGCAAACGGCACCACTTCAAAATCTGTCTCATTTATCTTCCAAGTTCTGTTGAAAGATATTGAATAGTTTTCAAGTTGTGCTCCAGAAACGAAGCCCACCCCTCCCTTTTGAGACTAAGTCCCAAATGTTTCCATGGAAACCAAGAAAAATAAGAAGGACAAAAATCTGTAAATAGCAAAGTTTTAGGTTCTGTTTGATATAACTACCAATTTTTGTTGAAAAATATTGTACGGTTTTTGAGTTGTGCTCAAGAAACAAAATGATTACGGAGACGGACAGACGAAGTGTCGACTATATCAAGGACATTTCTAATGTGAGCGTAGACGGGTTGTTGATATCAAGTGACTGGATAACAATCCTGTTACCAGCTGAAGCAGGGATGGAAATAACCCATTGCCCGACGTCCGAGTCCAGTGTCCAGTCGGGCAAGCAAATTCGTATATCACACTCTACCGGCGTCCAGTTGACTGTCCAATGTTAATTATGTTGTTTATTTAAAAATTCAACAAGAGAAAACGTCCGGTATAGTTATCAGGGCAAGTGATTTCACATGTGCCACTGCACTGGATTACACTAGCAATTTTAAAGTTATTTCCACCCCTGTGAAGGGGTGTTGCCCATGCCTTCTGTGGAGTGCTCGCTTGACACGTATTCTGGCCGTAGCCGCACATGCCGTCCAGATTGCTTGCTCATTCACTATGACCTGGCCTGACTGTGGCATTTGGTCAAGCACATGAAATCTGAGCTGCCCCTGCCCCTGCCCTGGGTGCAGTAGTCAGCTGTACGGATTGGTTGGGAGCCGTGTCCGCGGAATTGCCATGGCTTCCCTGGGTGGCTTCCTGTTTGGCTGGCCCGACCCGGTCACCGTGGCCTGGTCAACTGGGGCACTGTGCCGATTGTGTAAAGCTCGGGCTGTCTTTGCCTCATGGGCGCCGTCAGATAGCGGTTTGGGGAACTGTGGCCGCGGTTGAATTTCCATGGCGTCCTGGACGGGCTTCTGTCCCATGTACCCACGCACTGTCCTGCTCATGCTACCCATAACTCTGAGGCTCAGAAATCAACATGGAGCATTGTTTGGCTGTGACGGGAAAATGAGCCATGCGTACCAGACCGAGAGCTTGAAAAGGATATTATTGAAGCTGTGATTTTGAAGGTTCTTTAATGCACTGCCAAATGATAATTTTAAATCGTCTTAAGGGGAATATAGCAGCGAAATTAAGGTGGTTAAATTAACACCGGCAGAAGCTGATATAACTGGTGACTTTGCTGAAGTATTAGGCAAAGTTTTAGCCTTTTCAACAGGCTCAGATGACGGGGAAAGATTAGCTATCCAGAAAGATCTGGCCTTGGACAGTTGAGAGTTGAAAAAATCCAAAGCCTTTTCCATCACTCATGAATTGAGAGAGTGATAAGAGTCTGTTCAGGGTGAAAACATCCCAAAGATCACAGCTTGACAGGAATTTCAAGTCTGGTTTGTCTGAGGTAGGCGGCATAGTGCAAGGATAAAGTCTGTGAATAAGTTCCAACTTCTATTGGAATGTCCATCCCAGTGTATAGTCTTCTGCAGAAGTGTCCATAGAAGGCACAGTTAATAATCCCTCTCCCATAACAAACTCCGGGGGAGAGACAGAGTAGGCACTGGGACTGTCCGAGTCCATAAGGTGCAAGCAGGATGATTGGTGAGTTATCCGCCATACCTGCCTAACGGCTTTTTCACTCTTGGCTAGCCTAGTGAACGTGGTCTGATCACTGTCCACTGGCTCAATCCCATTGGGATCTTGCGGCTCCATCCCGTTTGTGCGGGAAACAGTAGCAGGCCGAGCGTCTTACTGATAGTTGGGTCAACCCCAAGTGGTTGACGGTAGGGCCAGTGCAGCTTGCGCCATGGGCAAATCCTGCCTCTTGCCCGCGTCACTGGAGTCTGTATGACTGATTGCTAATAGGATCAGTTGTCTGATCTAACTGCAACGGTAGAGTTTGAAACCATTTATAATTTATGGCTTAAACAATAATGCTTAAAAATTATGGGAAGGGGAGGGGGGCACTGATTTTGTACATGACATTCAGGGGGCTCATTTACTATGTACATGCTTCTCCATTAATATCATCATCACCCGCCCCAGCCATAAATCATGAAAGGTCACTAAGAATTTTGCCTTGTTACATTACTCTATCTCTTGGAGGGACTGATTCATAGAAGCATAAATATGTAATTTTTAGAGTAAAATTGATATTTTATACTTATCCTGACTCATGCTCTTTTTGCTTGTCTTCTTCTTCTTGCGAACATAGTGGAACACTTGTATCTCCCTAATTGAAGCTCCCTTCAATGTAAAATCACTAATTAGTACTCACCACGAGTTACCTCCCTTCCACAAGCTCGGGAACGAGGGCGCCACCTCCACCCATGTGCCTCACTCTCTCCTCATATACTGAGCCCAACATTTGAATTTACAGGGAAATCCAAAGTGTTATGTGGGGAGGATGGGAGGGCTTACCTCATGAGTCAGGATAAGTATAAAATATCAATTTTATTCTAAAAATTACATATTTTTCCTTATCCTGACTCATGCTCTTTTGCTTGTAGAATCCGGACGGAAAAGGAGGTGGGAATATATAATACTTTGGATTTTAATAATTAGTGATTTGAACTGTGATGATTGTAATAACCCTATGGGAACTTCATAAAGGCACTGAACTGATGAATTCCTGCTGCTAACTTATCAGCTGCCATATAAAGGTTATTACAATGTACTTATTATGATAAAGTATATATAACATTAATACAATGCTTAAGACTAATAGACTTAAGCTTGTTAATATGCTAGTATAAACTCCTTAGAGTTTGTTAGCTAAAATACTTTAAGATATAAACATAGTACTAAGCTTAAGATATGATTAAACTTAAGCTAATTATATAATAGCAAAACTCTTTAGAGTTTGTTAGTTAATATACTTATATGATATAGATATAATGCTGAGCTTAAGATATGAATAAGCTTTAGCTACATATATAATAGCAAAACTCTGTAGAGTTTGTTAGCTAATATATTTTTACAATATGAGTATAGTACTGTGCTTAAGATATAATTAACTTAAGCTACATATACAATAGCCAAAAACTCTGTAGAGTTTATTAGCTAATAGATTTATAATGTAACCATAGTACTAAGCTTAAGATAAGATTAGACTTAAGCTAAATGTATATAGCTAAAAACTCCTTAGAGTTTATTAACTAATATACTTTTATGTTATAAACATAGTACTGAGCTTAAGATATGATTAAACTTAAGCTATATATATAATAGCAAAACTCCGTGAGAGTTTTGTTAGCTAATACATTTTATAATGTAACCATACTGCTTAAGATATGATGAAACTTAAGCTAATTGTATAATAGCAAAACACCCTTTAGAGTTTGTTAGCTAAAATACTTATATGATATAAACCTAGTATTGAGCTTATGAAGGAAACCTTAAGCTACATATATAATAGCAAAAACTCCGTAGAGTTTGTTAGCTAATACATGTTTTAATGTAACCATAAAGCTTAAAATATGATGAAACTTAAGCCCAATATATAATAGCAAAAACCTCTTTTAGATTTTTGATAGCTAATATACCTATATGATATAAACATAGTACTGCGCTTAAGATATGAATAAGCTTAAGTTACATATATAATAGCAAAAACTCCGTAGAGTTTGTTAGCTAATACATGTTATAATGTAACCATATTGCTTAAGATATGATGACACTTAAGCCAAATAGCAAAAAACTCTTTAGAGTTTGTTAGCTAATATACTTATATGATATAAACATAGTACTGAGCTTAAGATATGAATAAGCATAAGCTACCTATATAATAGCAAAACTCCGTAGAGTTTGTTGGCTAATATATTTTTACAATATGAGTATAGTACTATGCTTAAGATATAATTAACTTAAGCTACGTATATAATAGCCCAAAAATCTGTAGAGTTTGTTTAGCTAATGCATTTATCATGTAACCATAGTACTACTCTTAAGATATGATTAACTTAAGGTAAATATATAATAACAAACTCTGTAGAGTTGTTAACTTATATATTGTATGATGTAATAATCATAGTACTGTGATGATAAAAGGAACTTAAGCAAATTATATATAGCATGTAGCTATTTAGTACTGTTATAAGATAAGTAGAAATCTGTAAGATTGACTTATCTTCTCCGAGGAACTGTCAACTGTTGTGCGAGGACCATGGGATCGAATTGGTGGATACCTGAGACGTCCTCGGTGGTGATATCTCTCAGATAATGGTTGGCAACCACCATATCGGATCTCCTGAAATAAACCCTCCATTATTTCAAAACATTTGTGTAGATCAATTGTAGAAGTTAGCGCTCTAATATCATGAGTATTAAAAGCTCATGGAGGGTCGGATTGGGTCCATCCGTCTTGTATGCACGTAGTATGACAGTTCTGATCCAAATGGAGATATAGTACGTGAGACTTCATTCTGCGTAAGTTGATGATAGAGGAAATAATCTGTTGCATTTTTCCTTCCTGTTTGGTTCGGTGGAGATAAATTTACAGTGCTCTTGCTGGCCATCATGATAGAATCATCGTATCATGGAGTCCAAGTATGTCATCCAGGCGTGTTCATAAACCTCACTTGTGAGGTGTTGGAGCACTATATTCAGATCCCCAAGTTGGAGCGTGAAACTTCCGTTTTAATTCTCCAATCAGAAAGCTTAAGTAGGTTTACTAACCATCTAGTTGTGTTAGTAGCTTGATGATGAAATTCAGCTGTAGTCTGAGACGCTGTGGATTTAGATCCACTTGTATCCCGTCGTCTAGGTAATTCGCTGCGAAGTCCTTGACGATGTAGGTGCACAACCAGGTGTGTCTGTCCTCGTTGAACTTTATGTAAAATCGCCTGACTGCCGTGCCCTCGTCCTAACTTGACAGGGGAGGTCTCTAACCTGAAGAAAGCAGCCCAATCATGAAGGTTCAGATTAACTGGACTGTAAGGAGGCTTGCTCGTTCACTGATATATAGTTGTCACTTGTAACGTAAGTCTTGAACTGTGAACTAAGATCGACCTCTGCGTAGGTCGTTGTCCATCGCGGTCCAATCAGAACAAGGCATTTTGATTCTGTAGAATACCCCCGCTGTGATGTCACCGGTGTAGCAGGAAAAAACCTTGTATAAAATCTTGCCGCCGTTGATATTAGCATAATCGCCGGTCTTCACCGTAGCTTCCCCGGTTACCCGAGTGACCACGTGTTTCGAGGGTTAATGGTAAACGCTGAAACCTCCGGCCAAATACCTCGCTCTGTAATATTAATGCTGGGTAGGTTATTTTCCTGGCTGTCGTGAAAGTAACTTCAGTTTTGAATATAATTCCGACTTCCTTATATAAAGGTACAATAAACTTTCAAGTTGTCAGCTTGTAGACTGTATACATGAATGTATCGTCATAATTGTAGCATTAAAGCTGAACTTGTTGTACATATTTCTTCTCAGAAACGTTGACGATTATGAGTTATACTCGCTGTAACAAGGCTGCTGTTCAATTTCAATATTGAATTGTCTGCAGATATGCGTAATGGTCATGCATGTAGATAATCGTATCGTCGTCCGGGATTGCATATTCTAGCAATCTATACGGAACAGTTGATTTCTGTGAAGATCTATGAAACGTCGTTGACTAATTAATACAGCGGCGTTCTGTGTTGTAAATAGCCTGTGCAATTGTCTTCGTAGGCTTATAGATCGCATCTGGCATACAGTTGATAGACAACTTATGCGATGTCTTGAACGGACTGACGAAGTAGCTATATATGACGAAAGTGGCTAGTATATGGAGACCTTGGAGGAGACTTCCTCGGTGAACGCCGAGACTTCGCTGAAGCTCTCGAAGTATCCCTTCTAGATCTTCTGGGTGAAGTAGAGTTGGAGCCACTTAGCCTTTCGCGACCTTCCGGCTGGTATCGAGTCAAAGCCCGATTAGTATATATATATATGAGCGCTTGCTTCGTGAACGGCCTCTGTGTTTAACAGGATGTGGGGTCGGTGAAGCTACTACTCCTCCGCTAACGTCCCTTGTAACTGGTGAGGCTCTAGCTCCTTCGCTGAGGCGCCTGGGACTTCCTTAGCCGGCGTTTATAGTCCCAACAATATATGAGCGTTAGCTTCATACAGGGTGTGGTTCTTGCTGGTTCTGCATAAGTAGAGCCGAGTAGATCATCCTATCATCTTCAGAAGACGTGTCACGAAATCTGGTGATAAGAATCTTATTGATCGTTCTAGATCTATTAAGGCCAAGAACATACGCCTCTGGCGTTTGAACTTTCATGGCTTTATGGTAGGCTGTGTCCTCATTCTGTGGCACCGCAGCAATCGGGTCGATCGGAGGTACGGTGATGGTGTCTGCATCGTCTTCCTTCATCAGGTATGTCTGCGCCGAGTTGCCACTCTTGGAAGGTGAAGAGATCTAGGTTGTTTACCATCCAATATCGTATCTCAGCGTCTGAGAAAATGATGCCTCTATCATCTTCTATCCCAGCATCGCTGATGAGAGGTTGATGCTCTACTGATGGTGGACTGTGTGTTTCTATCTCTATGTCGGGTGACGTTCGGGGAGACCTGACTGTAGACTTGTGTGCAGACTTGTGTGGTGACCTGTGAGGCGATCGACGTGGTGATGTACGAGGAGATCGGCGCGGTGAACGGCGAGGCGATCGTCTTGGTGATCTGCGTCTATGGGTTGACCTTCTCGGAGACCTGTGAGGAGAATGTTGATAGCTTCGCTAAGCTCTTGTGTAGTCCCTCGAAGTCCTTCTGGACGATGACGATCTGTGGTCAGGTGTCCTTCGCGAAGCTTCCTCTGCGTCCGGTCCTGGGGAATGGCGACTTGACCTTCGCGAAGGCTTCCGTGTGGTCTGGTGGTCTGAGTCTGCATCTAAGGATGTAGCCGAGGAAGGTGATGATCTATCCCGCCTTCGCGAAGGCTGTACATCTGGGTCCTTCGTCGAGGTGGTCTGCGACTTCCTTCGCGAAGGTGGCTTCGTCGTGGCTGCTACGCTGACGGGGGGTGCCTCTGGGGTGTCGTCTGCGTTGGAACCTTCGCGGAGGCTCAGGCCCTGGGCTGGCTGCTTCTCCAGTCTGTAGTGGCCCTCCATCATGATCATGATTTGCCGCAACAGTTCATCTGGGATGGTCTGCGACGAAGTAGTCGGTGCCCTCTCTGCGATGTTAGCGGTGGGGCCCTCAGGGAAGTCGTCTGACATCAGTGTAGAGACATCAGGCTGCATGGCGATCTCTGCTGATGTCATTGTAGCTGTCACCGGTCGCTTCTTGTGGCGTGCGTCGGGGATGATGATCGGCTGATCATCGTAGAGGCCCAGTTCAGCAGCTGGAACAATCTCGGTTGAGAAAGTCCTAATAGACTTCGTTGATTTCCCCTCCGAGGTCGACGCTGCCCTTGGGGTGCGAAGTCTGCGTTGAGTGTTGGTAGCGACGGGACCTTCAGGAAGATCATCGAATATCAGCATTGGTACATCAGGCTGCATGTTGATCTGCGCTGACATCACTGTTGCCGACATCTGTCATTCTTTTGATGTACATCAGGTATGATGATCGGCTGATCATCATACAGACCCAAATCTGCGATGGGAACAATCTCAGCTGAGAAAGTTCTAGTAGACTTCGTTGATTTCCCCTCAGAGGTCGATGCTGCCCTGGGGGTGCGAAGTCTGCGTTGAGATGCACTAGAAACCCTCTAGTCTTCGGCTGCGACGATGGGATGTCTGGGGAAGCAGGACGCTTCTTGGAGGCGGCGGACTACGTCCCACGCCTCTCCACCACTCTAGCGGAACACCACACGGGAGGGGGGTCGACCAACAGCAGTAGACTGGCGAGGGGTTCAGGTGTATCAGTCATGCTAGACTCTGCATACGCGACCTATCTGCTGCGCGTCTCAAACGCAAAGTAAATATTTATAAAAGGCAGAATTGGATAAATTAGTACCGCAACTGCAACGTGAATAAAATGAACATGGCGCAGTACAACTAGGGCATATTAAATGCGTGGTGAGTACTAATTAGTGATTTTACATTGAAGGGAGCTTCAATTAGGGAGATACAAGTGTTCCACTATGTTCGCAAGAAGAAGACAAGCAAAAAGAGCATGAGTCAGGATAAGGAAAAATATCTTGTTTAAAGGACAAGAATAAAACCATTATAGATTCTTGGATTTACTCTTAAATTCTGATTTAGTAGAAATCGTAGGGGATCGAGAGGTGGACTTAGAGCTTTTAGAGGGCTCGTAAAACAAGGAAAACTTCCTTTTCTTAGATAGAGCATCCATTTTTAAGCAGTCTTCCTTAGATTGTCCCTGACATAACAAACAACAATCTTGTAAGGAACACAGAGGTCCAGTAAGGCATGCGGCACATAATGAATGAGGGTCCAATTCTGACATTGCATTCATTTACTTGAAACATGATGTTTTGGCAACAAAACACCGAGTCCGATCTCACATAAATTCACACAAAGATAATGAATGCGATTGTTCGGGGTAGAAACTAATGCAACAACACTGACCCATATAATATGATCAATGTTGAAAACTTGGAAGAAACTTGGATCACTTCCAAAGCTTTAACACATCTTGTACGTGGCACATACAGAAAAATTATAAGGTTTTCATACAGTTGCGCTGTGATGTCACAGCAAAGGGACATAATCACTTGTCAACATAGGAATACCATGAAGGATAACTATGACTTAGTTTAAAATTTCATTTCCATTTCTGTATGGCAACCATAATCCATATGGAACGTTTACGACATAATTTCCCTGGTATTTTATGCTCCAATATCCTTAAGCTGATATTTGAGTTCGATTCAACCCACCTGTGGCTGACTGTCTTAATCTTGATTTTTCAACTGCTTTTATCTTCTGTACTTCTGTTGAATTGCCAAATGTTGCTGCTTGTTGGCGCAGTTGCTGAACCAGTTTCAAGGACAAAGACCGACCAGTGCCCTCATATCTGAATAACATAATCATCTATGTTCACTGAGGCAATGGATGGTGGGAGTCCTGAAAACAAGTTATTGTTACTGGACCTAATGGAGGCCATGATACCAATCAATCCACTGACAGAATGCCAAGAAGATATGTTACAACTGCTGGGGCACAATTGTCCACTTAATAGAGGCATAGCACATAAGTTACTGCTGCTGACAGCTAATCACTCACTGACAACAGCTTGAAAGACATGTTACAACTACAGGAGCCTATTCATGAACTGAATTCAGGCAATGACAACAAGGTATTGCTACTGGGGGCCTAATGAATGACTGGGGGGTCATGAGAACATGTTACAACAATTGCAAACAGACTAATCACCCATCAACTGCAGTCAATTAAGACATGTCACAACTGCAAAAGACTTCTCCATCAGTGACTGGAGGCTGTCACACAGGTTGCTGAGAATCCCTACAATGTTTGTATGATGTACAATAACTGATGATTTGAGTAGGTGATAATTACAGGGGGTGACTTACCCATTGACCGTGGAGGCCATAAAGACAAGATAAGGTCCCAGAAGAGATTTGACTAGAGGTAATGGTATTGCTGCGGCCTCGTCAATGCATACCAGCTCTGCCTGTCCCAGCTTCAGACTGTCTGATGGGTGGATGTACTGTAAACACACCACAGGGTATCAGATGTTTCAGACTTGGAACATTATCAACAATGACAAAACAATTTAGTATAAGACTTGATTGCCTTTGTACTGAAACATTTCTGAGTGCACGGGTTTAGCTTGAAAACATTTCCATGGTGTTGTGTTTTCTTTCTAACTAAGGGTCCTCCAAGTGCTATTGTCCACTTAATGGACAACAGGAACAACACACATTCGACTGGTACCTGTGTACAGACCGCCATCTCACTGACTCACTCCAAGATACTCTCAGATCTTGCAGATCTGGTAGAGGTGACCTGCAAAATTCAGAATTGGATATCATCAAACTTCCTTAAACTCAATAGAGACAAAACTGAATTCACGATGGTCGCGACCTCCCACCAACTCAACAAAATTTAAAGCCACACGCTCCGTAGCACCTTCCACATCTGTCAGGAACCTGGGTGTTCCAATGGACAGGTGTATGTCCAGCAAGACTCAAGCCCTAAAGACAGCCAGAACTGCAAACTTCAAACTTTGTACCATCAGAAAAATCAAAGGATACCTGGATGTTGATACTACCAAAACTCTTGTGTATGCATATGTCACTTCCCATCTGGATTAATGCAATTCTCTTCTGTGTTTGTTTCATGTTTGTATTTATGTAAAGCATCGCTGAGAAGCTTTCAGTTTGACATCAGGTGCTATAGAAAAGTATTATTATTTTTATCATCCACATTATTGGAAGCGTAGGCAACTTCATAATTTATACTGTAGTGCATCCATGTGTTCACTTGTTCTCTGAAAACTTTCTCATAAAAACATTTCCAAGGTTTGGCCTTTTGCTGTTAATCATGGGTAAACCTAAGAAGGGCTCAAAATCCATTTCTTCATCCCCTCAAAAACTAAGAATTGCTCAGCCTGTGGAAAATTAATGTCATGTAAAGATCCTCACAGAGATTGTTGGTAGTGTGTTGACAGTCCTTGCTCTTTTGTCTCCTGTTGTGAGGCATGTTAGCCATTATCTCCAACAGCTTTCGAGAAGTATGCTGTTGTCGTAAAAGAAGATGAAAAAGCTGGACTCCAGGACTCCAGCGAAGATGCCTGCAGATGTGGAGATGATCATAAATATCATTTGGACTCGGGTGAATTAAGTCCAAGGTGCTATGTCCTCCAAGTCTTATCAGCAGGAAAATGTTTAAATTTTAGTAGGGTACCTTAAGGAAAGCACTCTGGGATATCTGGGGGAGGGATGGGTGGGCTATTAGTGTTAGAGACAGTAATATCATTGATTACAATTACATCACTCTAAACACTTGACTGAAGAATCCCACACAGACTTGGTGGGTCCAGACTACCCCCAAACTAGCTTGGGAAATGAAACTCATAACACTGCAAGTACCATTCTGCTGGGCATAGAACCCTGTCTGGTAGGTTGCGATCCAGAGTAGGAGCAAGAGCTCATCTCATTGACGGCTTTTGATTCTTAGTAAGGAACTCCGGCAAAGCTCTAATTGCCACTCCAGATGAAATGTGACTGAGTACATCCAAAGAATGTAGTTCTGAAATCTTTGAAGATGTAGCTAAAGCCATAAGGAAAGTATTCTTACCTGAAAGATGTGAAAAGGATGCTTTCTCCAAGGCTCAAAAGGATGACACAATAATTCTGATACTACTACTGATAAATCCTAGAGTTAAGCGTTGTAACCGGATATGCTCTAGTTCGTAACGTAAAGATCGTAACATACTGACAAGAACCAGATCCTTTCCAATATGTATCCCTGGCTTAGTGAGGACAGATATCCTTTTCTGGTGAAGGCAAAAGGTGGAGATCTTCCCTATGATATCGTAGAAATTCTGCAATAATCAGCACTGTTATGGGGCCATTGGCTGTTCCAGATCTGACTCTCCACTGCTGGAATCGGTTCCACTTAAAGTCATACAAGGCAGATGTTCAAGCTTGGACTGATTTTGTTTTTGAAAAGTCTGCTGATGTGAAGTGTCATTGGAACAGCTGAGGAAACACCCTTGTGAAAATCCTCCTGACATGAGGTGTTTTTTGGCTGGATAGTTTTGCATACACTTTTAAATGGAGCTGTTCCAGGCTGCGATGGAATCTGTCTAACTTTGGTTGTCTGAGAAGAATTTGCCAAAGACAGATGTAATGGTTGATCCCACCAGCAGGGAAAGACCTAGAAACCAAGAGCCTGTCGGCCATGCTTGTGGCACTAGGTACAGTGTCATCTGATGATTCCTGATTTTGGCTGAGACTTGTGGGATTAATGCTGTCATTAGAATAGCTATGCAATCATTTTTTCCCAAGAAGTTGTCTGGTCATGAAGTTGTGTCTGGTCATGATGTTGCAATCCAGACTGTCCATTAGATTGTAAAGTTTGATATGGACTTAAGTGGGTTCCTGTTGAATGTAAGCTACTACTGTGGGACTGTGAGTGGCGATAAGTATGGAGGAGTTTCTTAGGTGAAGTGCCCAGTGCTGAATAGCAAAGAAACTGCCTTTATATCCAGAATGTTGGAATGTTGCCAAGATGTGTGTGATGCATCCTCTGTGTGATATATCTGAGAATAGGTGACAATCTGATGGACTGGGATTTGAAGATACGGTGAGTGAGTGAGTTTAATTTTACGCCGCAATCAGCAATATTCCAGCTATATGGCAGCGGTATGTAAATAATCAAGTTTGGACCAGACAATCCAGTGATCAACAGCATGATCATCGATATGCACAATTGGGGACCGATGACAAACCGATGTCAAACAAGTCAGCGAGTCTGACAACCTGATCCTGTTAGTCGCCTCTTACGACAAGCATGGGTTACTGAAGATCAATATTCTAACCCGGACCTTCACGTGTATTGAAGATACACATTCTGTAGATCTATGGAGATCATGAAGTCCCCTATGAAAATTGTTGTCTGAGGTTCCATTAGGACTCCATCCAAAACTTTAGAGGTCGTCTCAGGTATTCCTGGTCGAGGATTTTCAGATAGATAATCACCCTCAGGTCTCTTAAATCCTTCTTGGAGGCTAGCATACCTAAGGCTTTGTCTGGCTTCCAAAGATCCCAAGCCATCTTGACCAAAAGCTTGACTATGGGTGTCATCGGTGCTGAAGACTTGGGTTCTCACAGCTGATACCGATGTCCTTCTGGGTGTGTCATCAAGAGGGGCATCTTGGCAAATTGCAGGTGATATCCTTCTATGATAACTTTGAGGATCCACTGATCAGTCATTATGATCTTCCAGTTTTCTGCAGAAGCTGATGAACGGATGCCCACTGGACCCTTAAACACTTTTGTAGGAAATATGGGTGTCTTCTGAGCATGATCGTTGTTCTATAGCCAAAGTTGAAATCTGTACTACTAAAGTCTGGGAAGTCTGACGAGAGTCAGGTTGATTTAGGCCTGAGCCTGAAACCCTTTCCTGTATCCCTTGGAATGAGACTTGGGTTTGAAGTGTGATGAGGAAAGAGTCCTGAGGAACTTCCTATCTTCCTCTGATTTTTATTACTTCCAAAGCCTCTTCATATTTTCCATTGAAGAGCTGTTCGCAAGGGGCTGTGAATACAGCATGTTTCTTGTCTGTGATGAGATGGATGAAGGTAACTGTTGCAGATGATGATCCTTCATCAACAGAGTAAGCATTTGTAAAATGTTCTATATTACAGTGAGAAGATCGTCCATTAAAAAAACCTTGAAATGCAGGGCTTGTTGTACCTTGGAAAGTATCCCTGTGTGGTCCAAGCTACCTTTGCATGGCGTTGAGCTTCTCCTGCTTATATGCTGACTTGCATTCTGTTATGAAAACTGTTCCTGTGGTCTGTATGTCCCAAGATGCCTCTCTACGCGTGTACTATTATCTCTGATCCTGTTTTCTCTGATGATGTCCTCAAACAGGATCAGCTGACTGCAACTTCTACTTGTCCATAAGTCACAGTCCATGCCTTGCCTCTCATGTTATCTCAGCTGAGGTAACAGTTGCAGCAGTTGTGGTCCGTGTTTTTGGCGCAACATGGCTCTCTTATGAGTAGGAGGGAGACAAATTGAATTTAGAGCCCAAGTCAAATATTCGAATTTTTCAGAAAACAATTGAAAGAAAAAAGAAAATAGGAAAAGTTATGAGGTTTCCATGCTTTCTGTTAGGGGAGAACTCTTATGGATAGCACTTGGAGCACCACTTTGAAGAAAGACACCACAACACAACTGACTTCAAAAAATGTTTCAAGCTAAATCTGTGGTTTCAGGAAAAAGGAAACCAAGTGTTAGAGGGACATAATCGTAAGAATTAACCTTTGATACAATATGATAATGAGATTGTAGGGTGTTTTAAGCAAACAAAATTCATGGATTCTGATAACAAGTGTATCTACTAGCAACTGCATGTTGTTTGTGACTCGGTTACCTGAATGGTTTGTCGATGTTCCTTGAAGATGTTGACTCTCACTATGGCTTTGTTAAAGTCAGGGTTAGTTGACTGGATTATCTCATAGTCCAAATGTTCCTGTAAGAAATAAATACATCTTTCTGTAGAAACTCCATGCAGGATAATTATGAAAGAATCCTTCTTTTGCATATTGTATGGGCTTTTATCTTCTAAATAATCACCAACAATAAGGCTGAGCCATTTTTTAACAATTGGTTTTCTTGCACATGCTTTCAAAAATTAGTTTTGGAAAGCAGCCTTTGTTTCTAGATGTTCAGAGAAGTGTCCAACCAAATTATTAAACAGTTGTATGCAAACAATCTTAAAAACAGCTTCCCAACATAAAAGAAATCCTCGAGTAAAATATTGATCAATTTTTCTCTTGTGCAATATTGATATTGAATGAATATTCATCAAGAGCACACAAACATATCTTCCACTTTACAAACTCTGTCTACTTCAAAAACTCATGTCTATGCTTTCATGAACACCTTTGCCTAATTTTCATAATATCTTAGAATATTTATTCATCATCTCAACACAATTTTGCATTCTCACTATCAAACAATGATTATAAAATTTGTGATCAGAACATCTTAAAATACAACAAAAATGTATTTTTTAGAATTGTATCACTTATGCTCTGAATTACATACTAAAACTGGGGGCCATGGACTCTCAGTCATTGCTTATGGTACAGTAACCTGAATTCTATGAGTCTACATGATTGTGGGTGAGCATTATCTTAATGAAGGAACTCTCCACTGTTGTGCTACAACCAAACGTCCAAATTGTTGAATACCAGCAACATCTCTTGTAGCGAAATCTGAGAGAAAATGGTTGGCAAACAATTGGCAAAGTCAGTATCAGACTTCAAGAAACATCCTCCCATGTTTGATGGAGTTCGATTAATGTGGAGGCTCTTCATGATAGAATTTTAGTGGGCACTTTTGCACATATTTATTTAACGGATGATCCTCTGGTGAAGCATGTCAAGACTCATGATGAAAGCAAGGAATTCCACAGCAATTTTAAGCGTGCCAAGGTTGTTGCACAGAATCTAAAATTTGAGGTTATCTTGTTGATGGCAATGTACAGCTAGATCGTACAGCAATGGGAGTTAACCAGGAGAAGTCATTCACCAAGTTTGCCAAGAGTCAGTCATTAGTGGAGAAGCTTTGAGAACCCCCCTGCGTCATGTGTAGATGCAGTATGTGGAACAGAATAACAATCCAACCAACTCCTTTGCCTGGATGAAGTCGGCTGGTCTTAAATGTGAAACTGAGGGCTTTCTTGTTGCTGCTCAGGACCTGTCACTTCCCACATGTAATCACCAAAATGTGATTCTAAAATAAAATATCAATATGAAATGTCGACTAATCAGCATTTGATATTTATTATCTTGACAAAGTTCTTCATTCACACGATGAACCATCATAGATAATGGTGTGTCCCAGAGTTGAAGTACCTGGTATTAAGGGCTTCGTGTAGAAGTCTTTCAACTGAGAATTTTATATTAATCCTGACTTCGTAGCAAAGTGAGCCCTGCTAATTTGATTTGATATGAACTTCCATCAAAATAAACATTCTTTCACGGTCTGAGGAATCTTCAACATACTCAACATGGCCTTGTTAATTGCCAGTCCAAAGAATGATCTTCTGTACGTCCCAGACTCTGTACTGCACTTGAGGGAGTGGTCTTCATCAATCTCTGGCGCTTTGCTGAAAGCCTCCATGCTGTGTGACGGAAACGTCTTTGGTGTAGGTGTAGGCATCAGCTGAGCTTTTGTTGTCTTCACATAGGATTCTTCAGGATTTTTCAAGATCTGTGAAATCAGCTTCATGTAGGGTATGGTCAGTGTGTCAATGTCTTCACCATTGATACAGGATGAATCAGCAGGAAATGAATCCCTTGAGGGTGAAGATAGGTATCCGCAATCTGCAATCAGTAGTTCATGGTCTTCACAACTGGAATGATTTTTTATCTTGTGAGTAATTCAATGACTAAAAATTATCTTCACACTGAATGAGTCAATATTTCATGCCATGGAGCCACGTCCAGATGATTCATCAAACACTATTAGTCTGTATACCTCCTTGTGAAGTGCTTGATGGCCGCAAGAAGCTTTGGCGCTGCGTGAAACATTGAGACTGCATGAAGGGTCTCTGATGTATTGCTGATGACACTTGAGAAAGGGTAGGAGCTGCATGAACAATAACTGGCCTTCCCACACTTCGAGTTGTTAAACGGCTGGAGCCTTCATGAAGAGTGAGTGAGTGAGTGAGTGAGTGAGTGAGTGAGTGAGTGAGTGAGTGAGTGAGTGAGTGAGTGAGTGAGTGAGTTGAGTTTAGTTTTATGCCGCACTCAGCAATATTCCAGCTATAGGGCCATGATCTGTAAATAATCGAGTCTGAACCAGACAATCCAGTCATCAACATCAATCTATGCAGTTGGGATACGACGACATGTGTCAACCAAGTCAGCGAGTCTGACCACCCGATCCTGTCGATCTTATGACAAGCATGGGTTACTGAAGATCACTTCTAACCCGGATCTTCACGTGTTAACCTTCTGAGAGTCTGCCTGCAGGTCTCAAAATCTTCTTAAAATGTAGGTTTCAAAGCCCTTGAAGTAACAGTTGCAGATATCTTTGTAGATTTAGATTTCTTCTCCATTGTCATCTTCAACTTAACTAATTTCTGAAGATGCTTCTGTTTTTCAGGTGATGATGTCCTCTTTTTACTTACAGCCTTTGAAGCTGCTTCAAAACTCTTTACACAAGTGGTAGAGTTCTGGTAAAGCGAACCATCTACTGACTGGAAAGTATCCATATTAATAGACTTAACAATAATGTCTTGACATTCAGCTACATGGTCAGCTGTCAATGACTGGAAGACTGACAGTCACTATCTGGTCAAGTGGGAGGCTGGTGCGCATGCACAGTGGTGGTATGTTCAGGTGAGATGTTTTTACTGTTATTTTGGAACAAAAGACAAAATGTTTCCACTGTATCTCAGGTTAAGGGAGTGAGAAGCAAATAGTATGAGTCAGGATAAGGAAAAATTAAATACATCACTTTTAACATCAGACTTCAAAATATCGATGAGGTTGTGAGTGTAAACATGAGTTTGCATGAAACAAATGGAATAATTATTGAATGTGTCCATCAAGGTACAAAATGCTGAGCAATATATATTAAATTTTATTCGATCATTCCCATAAAGGGCTGTGGGGTAGCCTAATGGTTACAGTGAAGACTCCGGTTCAATTCCCCATATGGGTACAATGTGTGAAGCCCATATCTGGTGTTCCCAGATGTGATATTGCTTGCTATAAGCGTAAAACTAAACTTACTTTCTCACTCACCGACTCATTGCCATAAATCTTGTACCTGTGGCTGTAGTCACACTAAAACTTTCATTTTCAACATAAGTCTTTGCTGTCAACTACACACCAGTTGTTCAACCAAAAATATGCTTCACTTCTTTCAAACATAGCTTATCTCACTAAGAGATACAGAATTTGGAAGGTTGGGAGGAGTACTTCTGATGTAATAGAAGTAGTAAACAATAAACAATGATAGCTACTGGTCAATAATCCTTACTAAACTTCTACCTCTGTTGCATCATTGTTAGGTGATACCAGAGGAAAGGAGGGCTCTGCCTCAAGTGCACTCAGTTTAGTTAACTGTAAACCCTATAGTACTGTTCTTCCATCCTTACAGTCCGTTTGAGACAGAAACAGACCGATGAATTGCAAATTTTATCATTGTACAAAATTGCCACATAAATATAAAAAGTACACATGTTTATCATTTACTAATACCCAACTGCTTTCTTATATTTGAAAATTTTCCTGACTCCACCAAAGCAGTTGTTTAAGAAACTATCATCATTGAAAACGCAAAAGTTGTTATCTGTCGCAGCGGGGTGAAACCGCAGAAACGGAACAGCCACTATCTCGTCGTGCACGGGATACACATGCCTGATGAAAAATGAAGTTGAATGCTGACGTGAAACAGTTGATGATTAAAGTGTACGATTTTTTCCGTGCTGAAGCCGAAAGGGGCAAACCATTTTATGCCATTAATAAATTCCAGAAGCGGGCCGCAAAGCTTTAGGAGTATCAGCAAGGGTACTGACAAATGTTCTGGAACACAAACATTGTGAGGGTGAAGCGAAGCAGGTAGGGGTCGTGTCAAAATCACACAAATTAAAACATTTGGACAACTTTCAAAAGAACCTTGTAAGGCAGTCTATCAACAAGCTCTATTCTGAAAACAAATACATGTCGCTGAAAATGTTTAAAAAGCATTTGAAGCAAGAACACAACCTCAGAGTATCAAAGTACACACTCTGGCGACTCTTACACTCTTTCGGGTATCGTTATAAGAAAATTTCGGGGGAGAATAGGTCAGTACTCTGTGAACGCCCTGATATCGTTCGCTTGAGAAATAATTTTCTCAGGGTTATAAAGAAGAAGCGCGAGGAAGGGTTCGAACCAGTGTACTTGGAAGAGATCTAGGTCAATGCCTCGCACACTGCCAGCAGTCAGTGGGTTCCTGATGGGGGTGATAAGGGGTCACGTAGAAAGCTGCCTCTAGGGAAAGGAGAGAGACTAATCATTCTCCATGCTGGTTGCTCCAGCAAAGTCTTTCTCCCAGGCTGCGACTTGGTATTCAGGGCAAAGTCCACAGATAACAGAGACTACCATTCCGAGATGAATGGTGCAGTTTTCATCGATTGGGTTAAAAACAAGTTGGTACCAGCTCTACCAGAGAAGTCTTTTATCGTAATGGACAATGCCCCATACCACAGCGTGCAGGACCCCGACAGTAAAGCCCCGACATCGAACTGTCGAAAGGGTGATATGATATCATGGCTCGACAAATTTCAAATCGCAGGGCCTTCAAAGGCAACGAAGCCTCAGCTGTATGAGATCATAAAAACCCACAAAGGTGAACCTTTCTACAAAGTTGACAGTAACATAAAAAGTAAAGGTCACGATATTCTGCGACTTCCACCCTATCACTGTGACCTTAACCCCATTGAAATGATATGGGGTATTGTCAAAGGAG